TTAATTGACTTTTTATTGTTATTGCAAAAATATTTTAAGTTTTATATTGAGTGAAAAAGTGTGCAGATACTTTTGTCTACCCTCTATATAAAAAGATTATACGATCTCTTTAGGACTTATATTAAATATATTTACTTTTTTAGAATTGCAGCACACTTGTAAGAAAAATTATAATTTACCTACTATAAGGCAAATATAAAATAGACAGTGAAATCACAATATGTTTACAAGGCAATAAAAATTTTGATTTTTTTTCTTATTGTTCATTTAATTTCATTTTTTTCGTATTATTTATTTTTCTTTTTGTATTATACGTTTAATTTCATTTTTTCATTTTATTTTTCTATTTTGTTTCATTTTCCTGTTTTGTTTCATTTTTCTAATTTCATTTTTTCATTTCGTTTCATTTTTCTAATTTTATTTTATATTTTCTTTTTATTTTTTCATTTCATTTTTCTAATTTTATTTTATAATTACTTTTCATTTGTTTAATTTCATTTTTTCATCTCATTTTATTCACTTAATTTCATTTTATAGTTTTATTTCAGTTTTTTAATTTCATTTTTTGTTTTATTTAGTTTTCTTTTCGTTTTATTTTTATTTTTTCTTTTATTTTATTTAAAAAAAATTTAAGTAAATTAATAAAACTGTCGTATAATGATTAACAGATTGCATGTTAAAAAAATGACTAGAATTTACAAAATAACGTGAAAATATTTCTGGAAAAATCATATCATAGTAAAATTATATAATGAATTATTCGTTATAGCATTAACAATAATTCTTATAATAAAGTCCTAATTGGCTGATTGGTAACTTTATTATATCAAAGTGTAACTATATGCTAAACATAAAATTAATAACCTTATTTTGTAAAATTTACATAATTTTACAAATCTTATGCAATACTTTGCATTAAAAATATTCCTATTATATTTTACATTTATATTAAATATTAGCAAAAAACTTAAATTTTTTCATTGTAATGCATAAGTTTTTACATTTATTTTGAGTAAAAGATTCAATTTATATCAAATATCAGCAGAAGACTTAAATTTTTTTCGTTGTAATGCATGAGTACTATTTATAATAATAGTATAAATTTTATAAATTATAACAAATCCATTAATTCTTTTATTTTCAGTATAAATCAATCAAAAAAATATTAATTTTTAAAAAACGTATAATTTTATTGTAAAAACCTTATAATTTTCAATGTAATAAAATATAATTTTTTTTTATTATTTTTATATATTATTAATTAATAATTCCTTATACATCATTTTTTATAAAAAAAATGCTAAAAAAAATTCCTTATAAAATATAAGAAAATGTGTTACGGAATTTCAAAAAACGTATACAAAACTTATTTATAATAATGAAAAAATATATGCAAATTTTTTATAGGATTTTTAAACTATAAAAATATTAAAATTCTATATAGTTTAGTAACTATTTATAATAATAGTAGCAAATAATGCTAATTTTATAAATTATAATAAATCCATTAATTCTTAAATCTTTTAATAATATAAATCAATTGCAATTTATAAAAAAAAAATTCTTAATAAATATAAGTAAATATGATACAGAATTTTAAAATACGTGTATAAACTTCTAATATATAAAAAAATACAGTATTATATTAAAATATCAACATTATTTTTTATACTTTAATATATAATCAAAATGCAATTACTTATTCTTATTTTATAAATAAATAATTTTACTTATTTTATATTTAGATTTACAAAATGCAAAGATGTATTGAAGTTATATTTATAAAAATTTTATTGTGATTCTTTTTCATTATTTATTTTATTGGTAATTTCAAAAGACACTAATTATAATTTTAAAAACAAATCTAATTCAGTTTTTTAATGTTTTTGATTTAAAATATCTTTCAAAAAAACGGTTAAAACTTACTTTTTCAAAGCAAGTTCTTAAATCTTTTTGTTTTAAAGTACGATAACATATATAATTATCACTTTATTGAAAAATTATCATATTTAAACATTAAAAATATTATTAAATACACATTTCAATTAATTGTTTAAATAAAAGTGGATACATTTTTAATGCTGAATTTGTGTATTTTAATCTATTATAAATCATTATTAATGTTATATTTGTAAAATTATTTTATAATTTTCTTCAAAAAAGTCAATAACATTTCAAATGTATTTTCATTCTCTAAAGAATATTGGGTTATAAACATGAGTATAATATATAATTCTATGAAGTTTGTTTTAGATTTTAGAAAATATAGTATTTAGTTGAAACATCAAACTGTAATAAAGTCTATTTATAAATTATGTAAAAAGGTTGGAAGTTCTGTACTTTAAATTTATTATAAATCTCATTCTTATTTTTTTTACTAACATTTATTATAATATTAAATAATTATCAAGAAGCGGCATAAAATTCATTAATTTGATTTAGAAAATTGAATTTTATTATATATGGACGTTTTTATTAAATATCTTGGCCTTGTGTTTGTTTTGTGGCGAAGATTGGTTTGGTTAGCGTAGTTGGTTTCTCCATGAAAAAAATGATGAGGAACAATTGATTTTCTAATAAGCCTCATAAAAAGGCTGTGTAGACAGCCCAAACTGCACTGCCTTATCCATGCGTTAAAAGTAACGTGACAGTTTGTACAAAAATTTTACGCAGCACATTTACAATCAAATCTGTAATTGACAAATTAAATAAATTAAATTAAAAAATAATACAAATGATATATATACATTTTATATATTTTTTGCTTTAACGTCAAAAGAAATTTTCATAATATAAACTAAAGAAATTGGGATCATATGACTTATTAGACTCGTTATACCGATCTAGCTTAACTATCGAAGTTATTGTTAGCTGAAGAAAGAAAAAATAATAAAGTAATTCCCGTATACATAAATTCTTTTCTTTTTTTTAAAAAAAAAAACAATATAATAATAAACGCGAATTTTGTATTAATTACATACTTTACAGAAACCTTTGATTTTTTTACCAAATAGTCACGTGGTTATTTAAAATTTGTCACAAATTACCGTAGTTTCGATCTTGTGACTGCATATTCAAAGTCGTAAAAAAAATGCAAAATTCGTAATGTTTTAAAAAAAAAATTTTATTAATGTTGAAAATTAATTGAATAAAAGTAATTTTAGAAAGTTATGCGAAGTTTCGGCAAGTACTTGAAGATGAATTTATATGAAAAATTACTAAATATTTAACGTTAACGCTTTAAATAACGTGAAATAAAACTTAATAAAATTTTAATAAATAAAATTTTCGAAATAATTTTTTTTTTAACGAAATTAAAAATTTAAATTTAATAAAGAAATTTTAATTGGTAAATTTTGCTAAAATAAAATCTAAAATGAATAAACACCATAAATACAATGTTATATTAATAAAAAAAAAAAAGAAATTTTTAATTGTAAATTGCTGACCGTTTCTAATATTTAGAAGTGAAATCGCTGACAATCGTCTTGAGTCATAATTTCAGCATAGTGATATTATTATCTTTTTTTTTTTTGACCATTCGGGCAGAAAATAATTTTTATTTAATAGTAAAAAAATTCTTTATTTAATAAATGATAAAAAATATTTTTTTTTTTATTTTAAAATATAATCAATAATAGAATTTACATATGCAAATTAAATTAATAAATGATTAAAATCAATCATAAAGTTATAGCACGTAACAATTTATCCATCTTGATATTAATCTCATCCACTTTGTTCTCAAGTATTTTAACTCTATTTTTGATGTCTTCATCGTCTTTCTCATTTTCAGAATTATCGTCATCATCAGATTCCATCTTATAACCATCTTCATCTGTAAAACTATAATCCCACCAAGACTCGTTATCATCATCCTTTTCCATACTGGGTAATTGATCTTCAATCATTTTTTCCTCATAAGCATTATATAATTTAACTTGCTCAGTTTCTCGTTTTTTAACATTTGAATCCCATTCTTTATAACTTTTGGATTCACCTAAATAATAAATATATTTTGGTTCCGGTGATTTAGGATAGAAATATATTTCTTCTAACGCTTCATAGTCTGAAATTGATTCTGCACGAAATCTTAATAATCCAACACGACCTTTTTTATATGCTTCAGAATATACTCCCCTACAAAATTAAAATTTTTTGATTTATTACAAATGTAACTAATATTGATCAATATTCCAAAAAAAAGTAACTTACCCCATAAAAGCAATAAGCATATTTTGTAGAATAGTAATCAAAAGAATACAACCAAAGAAGGTAATAAATTTTACAGCCCAAAAGTCCCATATATCTTGTTGCAAAAACGCACCATTTAACCAATTGTATGTTGAGATGAATGAAGTAATATAATTCTTCGCTGGATTATCTTTAGTTCGATCAAAATCTTTTTGAATATTCCACCTAACAGAACCTTCTGTCATTAATGTAAAAGAAGATGTCATTTCAGAAAGGTTTGTAAACTCTGGATGTTGCAATAAAAGTAAAAAACTATGTGCTAATCCAGCAATTACAAGAATCATAAATAATAAAAATATCCAAGTTTCTTTGATAATATTCATCATAATATAAATATATTTTGCAGGTTCTAAAAATATTAATTGATGTAAAATTTAAAATATATAAATTTGATGAAATGCATTAAATTATAAAGTATTTATTATTACCTGGTAATAATCGAAGATATAATATCTGATTAAATTAATAAGATGATATTAGTTTATTAATTCAATTTATAAATTATTAATAAGATAATTACAAATTCAAACCATAGTAATAGCATCGTAAAGGAAATTGCAACAGTTATCTCTTGTGTTGTTGAAATATTAGCAAACGCATTTTTAGTACTAAACGAAGGAGTAACATAAATTGACATTATAACGATTGTTATAGAAATTGAAACTAAATCTACACAATTAAAGAATTTAAAATAATGCCTCCAACCATAGTGAACTAACTGTTTATATTCTACAATTAATAAATAATATCCTAAATAATAAAAAAGAATAAAGAGAAATAATAGAAACTTGCAAGTATGTTCTGTTGCTTCAAAATGTGCTACATAAGTTCCACAAATTATTGCAAAACAAGTTGCGAATAAAATATACATAAAAAAAAGCTGAATGAAATAATTTCTAGCTGGGCGCCATTTGTAATTAATTACTGCTTCCATTACTGGATTGTTAAATATATCATTATTATTTTCTAATCTAATAATTTGAACAAGTGGACTAAGTAGTGAAAAATTCTTTGTAATAGAATAACTTCGAGGAATAAATATCAATCTTAAAAGTTTAATAATAAATAAACACTTGTAACTGTTTTTTATCTTTTGAGGTAAATTATTAACAGTGAATTTGTATAAAGGAACTATTTTAACAGTCGGAGAATAATATTCATAATTATTTGGAAAAATTTTTACATAAAGTTTTTTCAATCCTATTCTCAAATTATCTCCTAAAACTTTTAGATTAATTTTCTTTTTGCTTGTTGAAATGAGATCCGAAATTGGATCAAATGCAAAAAAATTTTGCTTTGTATTTAAAGTAATTTGATATCTTTTAGGTATAAAATCAGTATATTCTAAAATTTTAGATATTTCTATACCTTCCATGCATCTTTTATAAAATAATTCGCTTACTAAATGTTCTATTATAAAAGAAAAAAATTTTTAATGTGATCATATTAAAAATGATATAACGATAAAGTACAAACCTAATTTATGAACATATAAATCTGGTAATGCATTTGAAATGGTAATTAACCATCCGGGATGGTCAGTTGCGTTTATTGCATAATATTCAAGTAGATATGTCACAATTAAAATTCTTCGGCTACGCTCTAAATCTGTAAGAAATTTTAATAAACATAATAATTTTATATAAATATTTAAAATTTAAAAAATTTAAATTACCTGGTTTACATAATCTAATAGCTATTTGCAAATCACTTAATTTGCTTATATCAATATTTTCCTTTGAATTGAAATTATTTATTTCAGAACTTGATTCTTCAGTAACAATAAAGCGATTTATTCTTGGTATATGCAAATATTTGTTTTTTACTTTTTCGTCACCAAATAATATGTATTTAACAAGGGTATATGAACCACTAATTATAATTCTTGTCATAAGATTATAACGAATATCAATTAATTTCCAAACATCTGGATAATATTTTATAAATTTCCAGATGATAACAGAAATATTAAATTTGATTTCTTCAAATACTAAATATTTTTATTGAATACAAATTAAATTTTTTATTAAAAAAAAAAAGAATAAAAAATATAAAAAAAAAATTACCATGCTGATTGTCATAACCAACTAATTTGTTTCTTTGATAATATAAATATTCAAGAGCATCACAAGCATGCTTTACAGGAATTACATGGTTATTATCATATGGCCATTGAATTTGTGTATGTTGATCATCCTTCCACTTAATTTTAAGACAAAACCCACGATTATAAACAATTAATTCTAATACTTGCAATGTATAATTATTTTCATAATCATTATTAGCCCAAAAATATTCAAGAATAAATTTGTGCCTTTTCTTCATAATTTTACGCCATACTTGAATGGTACTTTTTCCAATATATAATTGTATTGATTCTTTTTGGTCGAGGTATATCCACTTTTTCTCAAAATTATCATTTATCCATGGTTCTTTATTATATATAAGAGGTTTTGCTTCTTTTTTTGAAAAATCCTGATGAAAAACACTGTGAATATTTTCATACTTCAATTCGTTCATTTTATTTGGTGTTCCCTCTTTGCTTTTATCAGTAGAAATTACAATACTATAAGGATTTAATTCTAGTATAGATTGGTTTTCTTTTGTTTTATATACTTTAAGTATACTATCATATATTGATAATATAGAACCATTAGATCTTACAGTTACAAATTTACCAGGAATTCTTACATTATAAGAATTACATTCTTCATCGCTTTCTGATTTAATATTAGTGCAGAAAGATTGAAATCTATTCTTTGAAGAATTGTATAAATGCCAAAGTAACATCTCTTCATATTCGCTTTTAGACTTTTTAATGATTATCATTAATTTATCATTATTTTCAAATTCACAGGCAATTATTTTTGTGTTCTTTTCAAAACTTTTACTAATAATCTCTAAACCATTTTCTATAAGAAATAGAGCTATTTTTCCATATCCAGAAGAAAAGGCGATAATTTGTTTATTTTTTGAAATAGCTAATATAGGTTTGCTATACTGGTTTACATATTTTTTTTCTTCATATATATTAAAAACTTGCCTTATTTGCATGGATCGTAAATCATAAAGTTGCATAACTTGAATTCCTTCTCTGTATTGTTCAATATGAAAATAATGACCAAAAACAGAATTTTTAATTCTTGATATGCAAGGTATATTCTTATATAAAGTATTTAGTTCAATTATAAATCTTCTTGGATAATCAAAGTGTTCCAAGTTATCTAAATGATTGTCACAAAACCTAAGTCGATGTATTCCATTAGCATTAAAAATAAAACAATCTATCTTTGTAAATTTATCAGAAGAGGATTTATCATGAACAAACGAAACAACTCCACCGATGTTTTGTTCCTTATATTTATTGATTTTCCCATTATTAACATTTATTAATACCTTTTCTTTATCTTGTTCAGATGAACTTAAAATCATTTTATAAATAACGGTTTTTCCATTTAACAGATTTTTGTCTTTTTTAATTTCTGATAAATTTTTAATACTAGCATCAACTTGAATTGCAATAGGTTCCAATGAATTATTTAACTCGATTGGTTCTGCTTTAACTAACATATCTAATTCTGTTACACAAGAAATTGCTACGAAGATAACTTTTTGATTCATATATTCAACTTGATTTGATATAGCTAGCATCCATTTGGGAAATGATTTTTTGTTTTGTTGTTTATAATGAGATGTCATAGGTTCTTTTTGAGATTTATATTCTTTAAAAAGATTTTCCTCGATATCATATAATATTGCATCATCAATTTCTTCATAATTATCAAATTCTATAATTTTAAATTTTTGAATTGCTGCGATAAAATAAAAAGCTAATAAATGATTTTATTATTAATAAATTTATTTAGAAATATTAAACAATAAATTACCATGATTAAATATTAGAATATATTTTCCGTCTGGACTAATGGAAATATACCAATCTGAATTTCTTTGTCCTAAGTAATACCTAATTTTAAAACCTTTTTTTTTACAATAAGAATTTAATTCACATTAATATCTCGTCCTGAAATAAATAATGATGAGATGATTTGTCATAGCATAATAATTTTATAACTTACGATCTATATATTATTGATTTCATATTTTAAAAAAAATTAATTAAATTTATATAACGACGAAGTAACAGTCAAAAAATAGATTACTTACGAACTATAATATTATTGATTATTAATTAAAATTTAGTTATTTAATAAATGAAAATTAATGGATATGCGATTGAACAACTTACCGACTACGGTATAATTGAATATGCAAAAGATTTAAGATTATAAGTTATCAATAATTGCATTAAAGATATAATAAATTTAAATAAACTTACAACCTATATATTGTTGAAAAAAAAAATTTAATTAAAAATAAATTTTAAATAAATCGATAGAATGAAACTTATTACTTACTAACTATTTCGATTATTAAAAATTCCATTAAAAGTTATTAATTTACATATCAATGACATGATAATATACAGTAATTGATTGCTTACCAACTATAATATAATCATTTAAATAAATATGGTTAATATTATAGATCATATATAGGTTAAAAACGAAATGCCAATAATATTTCAAACTTACTTTCTATAATTTAATTTTTGTTATTAAATAAAATGATACTTAGATCCATCAATTACACGTAAATAAATTAAGTTTTTAATAAGATTAAAATAACTTACTCGCTAAAGTTTACAATTATTTAAAAAATTTAGCCAAGTATATATATTACATTTAATAACATTATTAAGTATAAATCTTACCGGCCAAAGAAACTAATATTATTGATAATCATTTATAGGAATAAGTTAGGTTATAAATTTCTAACGCTAATATTATCGACAGAAATTAAAATAAACCTACAATTTATATTGTCTATTGTATAAATAATATTAACTTAGTTATGGTCATTAAATTACAAATAAGTCGAAAATACATTGGTAGAAATTAAATATTTACTTCCTGTATTAAATATTTATTATTAATAAATGATGAATATAGTTACATTTATTAATATGATAAAAAAATTAATCTAATACTCTATTTACCTCCTGATGTAGAAGCATCTTCAACATTCGAAATTTGTTCTAATATATTTCGAACCATTTTATTAAAAATTTTGTTTCAGCTTTTAGCATGCCCCAATACCAAAATATATGCAAAAAATTTAATATTATAATTAATATATTGTCAATATTATTTACCGGCCATTATAAAATTTCGAGAAGTAGGTTAACAAAAAATGAGGAATAAAGTTTGTCCTCCAGAAAATCATGCACAATAAATATTAATTGTAACATCATCAATTTGTGTAACGATAATAAATAAATGTACCGTCGGTCAAAAGATAGACTTAATGAAGAAAGTTTTTATTGGTCGAAATATATTGCTATTAAAACATATGATAATTTTAAATTTTTTTTTGAAAAAACTATTTTTTAAAAAGGCACAAGTTTATTCAATATTTATTAGTGGCGCAGCAATTTTGCGTGCATAATATTTTAAAAATAAAGATTTTTTAATTACATTAATATACCAAAAATTATTTACACATTGTATTAGTCTTAGATTTCTGATTTTTATCAATAAATTTTGTGATTGATCATAAATTTTGAATAGTTACTGGATTTGAACCCATCTAAAGCGAAGTTATTTTTGGTTATTATTCTAGAACCCATGTATAAATAAACTTTTTAAAGTACTTATCACGTAATATATACAGCTGAACCCTACTTGAACCCGAGGTACACTTTAAGGATGCTCATTTAGTTAATAAATCCGTTTGACCAATATGATTCTGGAAATGTCGGTGACTTGTAAAAATAAACCAATTTAATTTATTGCGTTACTGTTTTCTAACAATAACTTAACTCATGATTTCTAAAAATAAATTATTGAGAGACGCGTTATTATTTATTGCGACGCATTTAATATTCTTACATATAAGCCATTCCTATTAGAAAAATAAATATTATAGTTGATTGCACATTCAAAACTATTCAAACCATTAATGAACCAGTTACTATTGAAGATCACGATTTCCCAGTTGGTCAAAAATGAAACTCATATTTTCTGTTTATCTAATTATTAATTCAGCCGATTCGAGTAACTTGTTAATCTGCCATAGAAAAGTGAAGCTTTAAATTAGAGAAGCTTTGCTAGGTTTAATGTTAGGTAAGTAGTCTTACTGAGTTATTTATCAAGTCTTTGTTGCCCTGCCACTAGGTATAAAAATAATCAGAATTGAAAGTATTTCGTGGCCACAGTTTGAGTGGGGGAACCCTTCAGATGGCGGAATGAAGAAACCTTGGAGTTTCTGAGATTAAGGTCTATTGGTTCTGTATTAAGAATTGATTATATATATCTTCCTTCGTAAAAATCATGAAAGCTTGCAATTCATAGCGTATTTCATTTACTCCTAAGAGTTTACTTGTTCTTTCTGTGAACATTCTTCCCTGTTTCCAATATTTTTCACACCCTGGAAATTTAAATGGTAAATAGGATACACGAATCGACGAATTGAAAGCTCATCATGGCCACAGTCACAAATTACTATGAACGTTCTTCTTGGTTCTTGATGATAATGACGCAAACACTTACATTTTACAGTATTTTTTATTTTTTTAACGGTCTAGGATAGACATACCTTTTTGATATCACACATGTGGCAAATTTTTTTTGTGTAATGATTAACAACAAAATTTAAAATTACTGTAATTTCTGCCAAAATTATGAACGGTTATAACATTTTATTTGACAAAATAATACCATATTTGCATATTAGCACTTGCTTGTGCACCAGGTACTACACTAGCTATAAAAATACTACTAGACAAACAAGTACTGCCTTCAAATGATTTTTGTAATATAATATCTTCTTGAATTAGACCACGAACAACTAAATCAGTCAAAGCAAAGTGAATTAATTCCTTTGTTTTCAATATCTTTTTTTTTCAGTTGGATATACCTATAAAGTATTCCATTTTTTTTGTTTGATTTTTGCAGTTTTTCCTTCTCTAAATACATCCACTACATCATCTAGACAAATTTGCTCATCCATCTCCTGTGTAAGATATTCTATTACTTCTAATAATTTTTTAATTTCTTCTTTACCATCAAGTAGCTTTAGTTTATTAGCAATTCAATTAATACAACTATCACATATTTCACATACAGGTAGTTTTGTTTCATTTGGCCATGCTTGATATTGCCAAATTAGCTGTTGATGGCATTCATACTGTAAATAAAAGACTTTAAAAATTTTCCTAGCAGCATGATCAAGTTTATTAATTAGTCTTTGTTCCTCAATACTTGTAACATTAGATACACTATAAAAGAAATATAAATCAATATTTTATGATTAATAAAAATCGCATTTATAAAATGTAATTTATTACTAACATTTCTCAATACTCTGCTACTATAGTATAATTTATATGAATGTCTTTTTTACTAAAAAAAAATAATGTGTTGCAGAATTTTCATCACGTCTTGCATTTTCTACTTTCTGAATAAGATTAGCTACATACAAAAATATAAATAATATTTTCAAATACAAAATAAATAAAAAATAAACTAGAATATCATACATACTTATGCTTATTGGTGCTCTTATATGAATTACTACTCATATATTATTTAAATTGATTCCCATTCTGAAAGCAAATATTGCAACCATTATTTATATAGAATTAGATTTCTAACTATTTATTACTATTTCTCTTTCAATATTACGTAAACTGCCATAAAGTAACCTATTGAAATATTCACCAAGTTTGTTATATAAATGTTTACAGTTAGAATGTATTGCACAATATATGATAATATGCCTAAGTAAATTAACATTTATGATAGCTATAATATTAGTAATATATTGATCCTGAACTTCTTTTTGTTCTTTAGTATTAAAATTTATTTCTAATCAATGATTTATATAATTACAAATTAATGCAAAATTATTTTCTTCAATAGTTAAATTTGTACAAATTTCATCTACTTCTGATTACATATATGGGCTCTTTGCAATAGAAAGGGAGGAAACTACTAAAAAAATTTTTTTTGAATTAATATTAAATCTGAGCAATTAGTATCAGTAAAACAAAATTTACAATGTTATCCTTCATTTGTCCAGTTATTTGTTGTACTCTCTATAGTAAATCATTTTGTACATTAACACTGTTATTAAAACACGTATTAAATCAAAAGCTGATCTGAACTTATTTTATTAAAAAAATAATATTTAGCTTATCAAGCAAAAAAAAATTTTTTTGGTAGTTTTCTCCCTTTTTATTGCAAAGAGCCCATATGTTGCTGTAAGTAATATAATTAGTTGATTTTTAATACTATTTCAGTATTCCAAGTTGTTTCCAAGCTTTCCTATTATATAAAATTATATAATATAATTTAATAATTGCATGTTTAATTATTTTAATACTAATTTCTATTAAACTTACCTAAAATTCTGATATGCTATAATATAATATACTTTATCAATTACAAATTGGACCTTTTTTTGTTTATAATAAACTTGCAAAATTCTTTATTAAATACTAGTTTTTCAGACGTAATAAATAATATCTTCATCAGTCGACATGCTATTTCTTCAAAAATAATTTCTTGAATATGTACTTTTTGTGCTAAATTAGCATATATTGTAGTACATGAAATACTCATTTTTATGAGTTCTCATTAAATCAAAAAAAAAAATTATAATATATTAATATTAATAAATAAAAATAATGTTATTTATTAAATTCTAACCTTTTGATCATCTATAAATGCTTTGAGTAGACTAAATACAATGGTTAAATCTTTAAAATAAATAGTTAATATTACTTAGTATAAGGTTTTTTCTCTATTAGTTTTCATAGATATAAATGTATTCTTATCACTCAAATATGCAATAATTGCTTCTATTTGTCCTTCTTGAAAACCATTAAGTCCAAAAAATTTTTCAATAATAAGCAATATTAATGTTTCTATTTTAGGTATCTCCAGTTATTATCCTTTAGATATATATTTATTATGGTCCAGTGCAAAAAGATTGATATACCAATATGTTTATAATAAAACTTTTTTTTTTAAAATTTAATGTAAATTATTAAATAATTTTATTTGTAATTTGGGT